CTTCAGTCTCATGTTCTCTGCCATGCTGATGGACGCCTACCGCGACGAACGCCCTGGAATCCGCATCGCCTACAGAACGGACGGTCATCTCCTGAATCAACGGCGCATGAACTTCCAATCGCGTGTATCCACAGCCACCGTTCACGAACTCCTCTTCGCCGACGACTGCGCCCTGAACACCACTTCAGAAGAGGAGATGCAACGGAGCATGGACCTATTCTCCGCGGCCTGCGAGAACTTCGGGCTGGTTATCAACACGCAGAAGACGGTGGTGATGCATCAGCCGCCTCCCAACTCAGCCACAGCCCCCAACGCGCCGCCGCAAATCAACGTGAATGGGACTCAACTGAAAGTGGTAGAGAACTTCCCGTACCTGGGCAGCACGCTCTCCCGCAACACCAAGATCGACGACGAAGTCGCCAACAGGATCTCGAAAGCCAGTCAAGCCTTCGGACGTCTCCAAAGCACAGTTTGGAATCGTCATGGACTTCAACTGAGCACAAAGCTGAAGATGTACAAGGCCGTCATCCTGCCGACGCTACTGTATGGAGCGGAGACTTGGACGGTGTACACGAGGCAGGCACCTCGACTAAACCACTTCCACCTCAGCTGTCTCCGTCGAATCCTGAGGCTGAACTGGCAGGATCGCATCCCCGACACTGAAGTACTGGAACGGACGGGAATTCTGAGCATCTACGCCATACTGAGACAAATGCAGCTGCGCTGGAGCGGCCACCAGGTGCGCATGGACGACGAGCGTCTACCCAAAGGACTCTTCTACGGAGACGTCGCGACGGGCTCTCGTCGTCAAGGAGGCCAAATTCGCCGTTACAAGGATACTCTGAAGTCCTCCCTGAAGCGCCTGCAAATCAACCCGACCAACTGGGAAGAGCTCGCCCGCGATCGTCCGACATGAAGGAGAACAGTGAAGACGGGCGCTGCTATCTATGAAGCCAACCGCATCGCCGCCGCCAAAGCGAAACGCGAAGCCTGCAAATCACAACTTCGCCCAATACGCAACGCCGCCGCACAACCGCTCCCTACGTGTCCTCGATGTCAACGGACATTCCGGGCACGAATCGGACTTGTTGGACATCTTCGGACCAACTGCACCTCTCGAACTGCTCCAGCCATCGTCCCCCAACCCGCCTCTTCCTCGTCCTCTCTTCCGCCAACTAACTCTGACACTCCTTCAGCACCACCACTTCCATCCTCGTCGTCCTCCTCCCTCTCCACTGCCCCAGCGGCGGCCGTTCAGACTGCCGTCTCACACATCACCAACCCCGACACTACAACCGACATCACCACCCACACCTCTCCCGATTCCAGTGATGAGGATCAGGACTACGCCTGCCCTCACTGTGACCGCACCTTCACCTCACACATCGGCCTGGTCGGTCACTTGCGAATCCATCGCACAGAGACTGGCGAACCAGTGCCTGGAGCACCAACCTACACCCACCGCACTCGCCTCCACTGCCCACACTGCCCTCGCACCTTCACGCATCGCATGGGTCTATTCGGCCACATGCGCATCCACGACGACCTGCGGTAGACAACCGCCGGTCACACCACACATTCCTCACTCCCTACCTCCTAACACCATCACCCCACCTGAAATCAACCCTCACACACCTCATGCACTCAACTGCCGCCTCCCACGCAAGTGGGAAGTGTGCATCTCGACTCGGTCCCCATGCGGTTTCGGCTGCACGGGTGACTTGTGTCCGAGACTATCCCGACACTTCAAGTGTCGTGGATAGGAAGGTTGCTGATTGAGGCCCGCACTCGATTCACGCAGTTCGTCACGTTGTGTGTGCGTGTGTTGTGTGTAGTGGCGGACTGGTGGACTGGGGACGGGCTGAATCAGCACCTTCCACGGCACTCTCACGCAAGTGGGAGACACGCCGTTCTACCCCCGTTGTGTGAAATCCTGGTGTTTGTGTGTGTATGGGGGGCCAGGTCGTGCTGTGGCGCGCGCAGGCATGGTCAGTCGACCATGCCAGCCACCGCGCCCATTCCCCACTCCAGTCTGCTGACCGGCTCGGACAGCGGCTGAGGTGTGGGAATGGGAAGGGAGAGTGAGGTCGACGACTCAGCGCACTTTCTCCTCACTATAATCAATCTGACGCGCTTGAAGCTATCACGGTGCGCTAAAAGCCGTGGCTTGGAAGGTTGCCAACTGACGGGGTACCTTGGACCTCCTCCTTAACGGGAGGCGGTCTGAGAGTCAGGCTGCAATGGCTCCTTTTTAATGTGGCCTTTATGGCATTCCCACCACAGTGTGGGATCCGAGCCAGGCGTTGGCGGCACGCCCAGGTGCGGCTTCGGTCGTGCCAGCCTCCAAATCTCTGTTGTGTTGGTTGAAATCCTGGTCATTTGTTGTGTGGACCAGGGGGTGTGGTGGAACGCCAAGGTGAGGATCCGTCCGAGCCATCCACCTGTGGCCTCCCTCGTCTCCGGTCTTCTTGACTCTGTCTTGACACCGGGCCCAGGCGGGGGAGGAGGAGAGAGTGTAGGTAGATGCTACGCAAGTCTACTGGCACTATAAACCCTTGCGTATGTCACCGTCCCTGCTCGCGCCGCTGCTGCAGCTGTGGGGCACACGGTGGACATCGTCGAAATCGACGGTCGAACTGTCGTGTGTGTGTGTGTGTGTGTTTGTGTATGGGGACCAGGTCGTGCATGTGGCGGGTGCAGACGTGGCCACCAGACCACGTCAGCCACAGCACCCATTCCCTGCGCCAGTCCGTCGATCGGCTCGGACAGTGGCTGAGGTTTAGGAAATGATAGGCAGTGAAGTCGACCATTCGGCGCATTTCCTCCTCACTATAAACAATCTGACGCGCTTGAAGCTATCACGGTGCGCTAAGAGCCGTGGTTTAGGTTGCCAACCTACGGGATAACTTGGACTTCGCAGTCGACCCAGTGTTGTGTGGAGCGGCGGACTGGTGGTCTAAAGAGTCAGGCTGCAATGGCTCCTTCTTAATGTGGCCTTTACGGAACACATCCCGTGGGATCCGAGGCGGGTGTAGCGGCACGCCTAGGTGCGGCTTCGGCCGTGCCAGCCTCCATTCTTTCGTCATTATTGGTTAAAATCCTGGCCAAGCGTGTGTTGTGGATCAGGGGTGTGGTGGCACGCCTAGGTGCGGGTCCGGCCGTGCCAGCCACCTGAGCCCTCCCCCGCCTCCGATATTCTTGACTCTGTCTTGACACCGGGTCCAGGTGGGGTGGGGGGAAGAGAGGGTGCGGTAGATGCTGCGCAAGTCAGCTGTCCCTTTAAACTTATTCACGCGCAAGTCACCGTGTCTGCTGAACCTTGCTGTGGGGCACAAGGCGGACATCGTCGACAGCGACGGTCGAACTGTCGTGTTGGCGAGTACCATTCTTGCAGCTGCCGGGAAGACGCACATCCAGAAACTAACGTCCTGGCGCGACTGCAATATCTTGAGACCGTTTCGCGGTAAACAATCCTTACTCCTTTATAGCTGGGAGAATAGATCAAAATTCCAACGTTCCGTGGAATACGTCACAATCTGTATTTCCGTCAACGATGAATGCCGAAGCTGCTAATTATAGTAGTTTTACGTCGCTTGAAAATTTGAGCATACTGATGTCGTTGGTCGTTTGTGCCCCCAAACTCTGCCTTTTGTAGTTTCTACTAATGGGTTCAGGCGGAGATTCAAAAGCTGGAAAATTAAGTTTTTGCTTTAATTCCCTTCACGGCAACCTGTCGGCATAGCACAGGTAAGGACACTCCTGTTAGATCATCCTACTCTGGTAGCTTCCGACGCCTGCAGGATTCCCGTCAAGCTATCCAAACAAAATAAGTAGCAAACGCGCGGCAATACATTTCAGGAGTAGGTCATGTGCACGTAAGCCCCTCTTTCTGCAACGACGGAAGGTCTGAAAACGAACCAAGACAAATGTACCTCCTCAATATGATTCCGAAGGAGGAGAGATTAACTTTTCCTCCTGATATTACTGCTCATATTTTTATGTACTTACGTAGATCCTTTTCAACGCACTTATTTTCTCTATGTACAATCGCACGTTTTATTTTTTAGACGGTATGCTCAAAGACCCTCACCCAAATTACCTCCAGCAAATGTAACAGAACTGCACTCCTTTATGTAGTATAGTTGGGGTAATAGGCAATGCCCTTGATGACCGTATTGTAAATGGTACATACAATGTTCATGCTAATATTTTATGTACCGTCTTCACTAGGGCCACCAAGGGCATTGCCTATTACCCTAAATATCCTACATAAAGGAGTGAAGTTCCGTTCAGGGTGAATCGCTATGCAAAGTTCTAGGACTATTTACAAGTACCCTACCTATTAATGAAGACGCTAAATTGGAGAATACGAGGGTCCCAACCCAAACGTTAAGTAAATATTCATTTGACTCAAATGTGAGGGACTTGACGGCCGCGGTCGGACTTACACCCGCAATGGCAAGAGCAAGGCGTATTGAGTGGGTCTGGTATACATACGATGGATTCTCGATTGATTGTTTAGGAAAACCGGGTGAAGTTGTCAGCTTGCTCTATCAGAAATAGTGGATTCCATAGGTTGCAGTAGACTGGGCGGACAACTTGAGATAGATGCAGCTAAACTCACGGCTTCCGGTCAGGTTAGAGCGTTGGCCGTACTCAGGCCTTGCCCTTGCTGTCGTGGATTCGGATTCCACCGAAGCCGCCGGGTTTTCACAATCTGTCAAAGACACCCGCTAGTAAATTAAACAGTCAGGAGTGGATTTAGACAGCGCGCTATTTTCCCGTTTCCATCCGCCAATGGATATCCCCCTGCGGGAAACTGGTTAGTCTGGAAGCCGAGGCTAGAGCTCATCCACTACTTATTCATTGAAGTTTAATAGCGTCGTCCACTAGCAACGCTCATAGGCCTTTGAAAAAAATACGCAGCTTCCACGGTACCTGTTGAGGTACACAATACTGGAACCCACAGTCTGCGTTTGAGGTGGTCAGAAGTGTTAAGATATCTTTTGTGTGCGATGGAAACCTTGCCCATTTTGAAGTAGAGGGGTATTACCATCATCCGATCAAAGAGGCGCATCTCTTCTGAATTATTTGCACCCCCCGGCAGAAGTTTATCAGCTGGTTATGCAATCTAATTCACTGAAGAGTCCGCACTCCTGAGAAAGCCACTGGTGCTCAGAGTCAGTTGAACGGCTGGATGGAAAAGAGCTTAAAACAGCAATTATTCCAATGTTATTGCAAGACCTTGAAAAGTAGTATTTTACACCAAAAATCTACACTGCCGACGGTCAAATCTGCGAGTGCGGGAGGAGAACAAGGGAAGGGCGCTCGTCAACAATGACGTCTCTCGGAAGTGGATCTGTTGCGGAGGCAACAGCAGCAGCAGCAGCAGCAGCAGCAGGCATCGCCGTAGAGAGAGGTGAGTGGTTTACTTCCGAGAATGACGAGACAGAGAGGACGGATTAGAGTTCACTGACGATGAGGACTGTGTCAGCAGGTTGTTGGAGATGGTAGTAGAGGCGGTTGAAGCAGAGGGGGACATGGAACCGCCGCCAGGAGATCTACGGGAACGGCGATGGTGGTGCGCTGAGTTTGATGACCGATGGTGACGCTTTTCGCTGTTTCCATCGTGCCTGTCCGACGGCGTCGAGGTCCGTGCGATTCCTGAAATGGAGCAGAAGGAACCATGGGAAGGAGTCAGTCAAATACCCCCCGGTTGGGTAGGGGAAAGGGATGAGGCTAGGCAGGTGTGGTTTATCTTACAGAAAAAAACCAGACAAAAGCTCGTTCATAGAATTTTGGTTCACAGATTGGTCGTTACTACAGAAGTTCAACAAGGATGGAGTCGAAGGCATTCACAATAAGTCGCTGACTTACACTTAGAAAATAACCGAACACTTAAATGAGAATATAAGATTTTTACGAACGAACTTACAAAAGTGGACAACCCGCTGTTGGCCAAACAACCCCAAAAGTAGGCGAGAAACTTTTATTTTGGGGCATATGTGTCTAGTCTGGCAAAATGAAGTCAGCCTTTTTTGAGAGTAAAGGATTCATCCGTATCCCCCCATCCATATCCCAAAAATACACGAGCGTTCAACGTGCCTGGGTTGCCGCATCAGTTCGGCTTCGCACATTTCTAATCAACCGTTTAGTCGCGGTGAGAGCTAAGGTGGCTCGATGTTGTGGAAAGTGGGAAGTGTTTCAAGCTGTCAAACATTGTGCTAGAAACAGACCCGGACGTGTTCAAGGGGACTGCAATCGAGGGAACGGTCAAGCCAAGGAGGCGGCTGAATGTCAGCTTCCATTTTTAGTATGTAAAGGGTAGCCGATTATCGGAATGGTGTCGTTCGTAAGACATTCTGTCATTGTATTGCTTCTCAACTATTTGGCGGAATTGCCCTTGTAAAAGCCTTAAGTGCATTGTATGCTGCCAGTACCGAGTCCTATATATGACGCGACGTACGCGCGCCAAGCGAACTTTCAAAGCCACGAGCGCGTGATGAGAACTCCTAGGTGCAGTCTGGACGCCCTTCAGCCTATGATGTTTTCCCG